GACATATTTACCAAACCGTTGCCGCGCGAACGATTCGCGTCACTTAGAAGCGCGATCGGAATGCGTGAAATCATTTAATTGATTGCTTAATAGAGTTACTTATTCAGGGGGAGTGTTGAGTTATTCATGCGCACTCTATTATAGTGTCATCTAGCGAACGTTATCGATAGGACTACGAGCGGTGCGATGTGCGTGTGCATATGTTCTTTCTTTACTTTATGATCAGCGCCCTCCTCTCATCTATGTATAGGAATAAAAGTCAGTCTAACTGTGTTTGTCACTAAGAGCAGTCGTGTCTTGATTCCCTCCGAATATTCCAACAGATACAAGATTGCATTATGCCGTATGGAACATCGAAGAAGATATGATGAGAAAAGTGCAAAGAAATTTGTTGAAACGCATGAGAGCCTGCGTTAGAATGGATGGCGGACACTTCGAGTATCTACTATGAGATTCATTTCATCTGGCAAAAATAAAATCTGCTCTTTTTAGAGCGACAAAAAGCAATCCGCCCTTTTTAGGGCGACCAATATTTTTTTACGTGGAACATTTCTTACGTAAAAAAGCTTAAGAAAGAAGGAGAAACGTAAAAAAAAAGAAAAGAATTAGATATCAAATATTAATTTATTGAAAAAAATATATTATACGGCATTACATGAGCGTTCATGTAATTCCGTATAATATTGTTTTTTTTTTTCAATAAGTTGTTAATATTTAATATTTAAATCTTTTCTTTTTTTTCACGTTTTCATCGTTCAGTTCACATTCGTTAAGTTCAGTGCACTCTGTGCCGAATTTGCCGCGCTCTGATTGTGAAATTTCAACTAAACACATGTTCGCCTTTCGACAGCGTAGACAGCGCTACAAACATAACCAATAAAAATCAGTCGACTGCTTGCTATCGTCGGGTGAGCGTCTCGTGTGTCAGTAAATCGTCGTGTGTGAATAAATTGTGCGCGTGTTTCTTTCTTCGAGTGATTTTTCAGTCGACGAATAATTAATAGACACGGGATTGATAATCATTAACTAACAAATTCGGTGTTAAAGTCAGTCGACTGCTTGCTATCGTCGGGTGAACGTCTCGTGTGTCAGTAAATCGTC